AGCCGTTGCTGCGTCGTGTTTGCGTTCACTTGGCTTCTCCCTTCCTTGTTCTCACACCGCTCTTCTTCTGGTTTTTGTTCCTTGCTGCAGATCACCAATCGTCTGTCTCCTCCTTTCGGTGCTGTCCGCCGCCTCTATGCGTGAGTGCAGTTCCCTCCCCACAATGGTGTGCCTTACTTGCATTGCCGTGTTGCTTGTGACCTTTCCCGTCCTCACCACCCCCTTTCATGACTTGTGCTGTGGTATGTGATGTTGTTTGGTCCAGCATCGATGGCACCGTCATCAAGGAGCCGTCACAACTCAAGACAGGTGTGAACAAGTCGGTCTTTGTTAGGGTCGTGATGTTGTATGTTCGACTGCCCGCAATGCCCCAATGTCACCGCACACACACACACACACACATCAGGCGAGTACTACGTTGCTGCGGGAAAACAGGCCTTCAAGGCTGTGCCGTACAAGCTCCCTGCCGGCCATGCACGCCCTGGTGCCAAGGCCACCCCAACCAAGGTGGGCACCTCCATTCATACCCTGCCCCCCCCCCTCTGTCTGTCTCTGTGTGTCTCTCTGTCTGGCTCTGTCTGTCTGTCTGTCTGTCTGTCTGTCTGTCTCTCTCCCTCTCTCTCTCTCTCTCTCTCCTCCTCTCTCTATCTCTGTCTCTCTCCTCCTCTCTCTCTCTCTCTCCCTCTCTCTCCCTCCCTCTCGCTCGCTCTGCCTGTCCGTCTGTCTGTCCACACGCAGGGGCCCTCGTTTGTTTGCACAGCGCCTTCTGACCATGTGTGCAATCGTGTCTGTGCGAACAAATTGTGCCCACATTTGACATGCGTCCACATTTGTTTGACAGTCGCGGACCAAAGGCGTTTCCGCGGGCAGCAAAGTGATTCTGTACGTCACAAACGAATGCAGACACACAGACACACCCACCGCCGTCCTCTGTCTGATCACGTGCTGTGCGCGCATCCCAACAGCGCTATCTTTGAGCTCTCTCTCTCTCTCTCTCTCTCTCTCTCTCTCTCTCTCTCTCTCTCTCTCTCTCTCCCTTCGATACTCTCACAATCACACAATCACACACACGCACTGTGTAGGGTTGCGCGTAACGGTGAGTCGCATGCGCCGACGCGCGTGCCGATTCCGCAGCGCGGCCGCCCCTCGATTGACGACGTATGGTTGCATCGTGTCTCGGAATGATGGTGCAAGACTTGGGATGGGGAAAGGGGGGGGAGGAGGGTGGTGCGAATTGTCCTGTTATGTTGTGTTGTGGTGGGGGTTGGGGTTGTCCATGCTGTCAGTCCCCGACTTGCCACTCACGCCCACCCCTTTTGCACCACCAGGTTGTAGAGCTCGTGAACCAGCGCCTGGTCCTTCCGTCCGGCAAGCGCGTCAGCAAGGTACGTAGCACACGCACTGACTGACACGATGTGCACGCCTCTTTTGTTCGATCTCATTCGTGCTGACCACAACGTTAGTTTTTGTTGTCCGCCATCCATTCCAACTCACACACACACACACTCACACACACACACAAACACACACACAAACACACACACAAACACACACACATGCCCATATGTACTCCCCACGTCCCCAGCTGTACACTGCAGAGGGCAAGCCTGTTTCGAGCCCAAGCCAGCTGGAGGACCAGTGCCTGTATGTCGCGTGCGGCGTGCGAGAGAAGTTCACCCCGCTCTCCTACGACCTGTGGAAGTCTGTGTCTGGCCACAAGGCCGGCGTGAGCCCCGTGAAGCCTGTGAAGACAAAGGGGGTGGGCAAGATCACCACGTCCAAGTTCAACCAGCTTGAGACGCACTTCAAGAACCTGGTGAAGGACAAGCGGCAGATGGACAGTCTGTGGCGCGCCCTCGACTTCAACAACAACGGCATCGTCTCCCTCGCCGAGATTGACAAGCTCGTGGTGCGTCAGCGTCTGTTCAGAGCGCTCGCGCGTGTCTCTTGTTCTTGCTTTGGGGTTTGCTTTCCCGTTTTGTTGCATTATCTCGCTGCTGTCGCTGTGCTGCTATCACACACACACACACACAAGCACACACCCAAGCACACACACACACACGCACAAGCACACACACACGCACAAGCACACACACACAAGCACACACACACACACACGCCATCACCGCCAACATTCAGCCCACGTGTCACTCATGTCACTCATGTCACTCATTCAATACATCCCCCCTCCCCCACTCCCTGTTCATCTGTCTCTCCACGCACATGTCAGGTCGAGCGGTACCCGCTCCTTGACCACAAGCCCGCTCTGATGCGCGCGTACAAGCAGACGACGCTGAAGGACGGCGACGGCGACGCGTGGGTGGAGCGCCGGGAGTTTCCCGCCCTCATCCGAAACATCTTCTACTTCAACAAGCTCTTCCACGTGTTTGACGTGATTGACAGGGACGACGACAGGCGCGTGGACCTGGGCGAGTTTTTGAAAAGCGCGGAGCACCTTGGCCTGTCGCTCTCCCGGCAGCAGCTGGAGCAGGAGTTTGCCCTCATGGACAAGAACGGCGGCGGCCTGGTCCTCTTCGACGAGATGTGCTCTTGGGTGGCACGCAACTCGTGCCCCGTGGACGGCGAAGTGGTGACTTCCGCCACCTCGGCCTCGAAGACAATGGAGACACACGCATCGTCCTCGTCGTCGAAGCAGCCGAAGAAGCTGGACAGGAAGGCGGACATTGACACGCGCGAGTTTGATGCGCTGGAGGCGGAGATGAAGGCGCTGATGGCTGATCCGCAGCAGCTCAAGGCCGCATGGCGCTCCTGCGACTACAACGGCAACGGCATCTGCTCCCTTGCCGAGATCGACAAATGGGTGGTACGCACACTCGTCCTGGTTCTCTTGCGGTTTCTTGCTCTTGTAGCTCTTGCTGCTCTCGCTGCTGCTGGTGTGGTTGGAAGTTGTGTTGGTGTGCTGGTTTTACAGAAGGTTTTATTGCAGCCGCAACCCATCCCTAACCACCCATTCCTCATCCTCCAATCTTCCTTCACCACCACCACCACCACGTCACCACCACCCCTCTGCCTTCTTCCATCTTCCCTGCCAACCTGCGCAACAGGTGGAACAGTACCCGCTGCTCAACTCAAAGCCCGCTCTGATGCGCGCGTACAAGCAGACGACGCTGAAGGACGGCGACGGCGACGCGTGGGTGGAGCGCCGGGAGTTTCCCGCCCTCATCCGAAACATCTTCTACTTCAACAAGCTCTTCCACGTGTTTGAGGACATTGACAGGGACGACGACAGGCGCCTCGACTTTGACGAGTTCAAGCGCGGCCTGGGCGAGATTGGCCTGAGCATCCCCACCTCCGAGGCGCGTGCAGAATTTGACCTCATGGACATGAACGATGGGGGCATTGTCCTGTTTGACGAGTTCTGCGCATATGTGGCGCGAAAGGCCATCCCCGTGGACGGCGAGGTGCTGACAGAGTACACGCGCGCAAGCAAGAACGTGGGCACAAGCAGCGGCACCAGCGCAGGCAGAAAGGACGAGAAGATGCAGAAGCAGATCAACACGGACGCCATGCTGGCCAAGTTTGATGCTGTGGAGGAGCGGTTCAAGAAACTGCTGTCCACACCCGCCGCTGTCAAGAAGGTCTGGCGTCGCATCGACTACAACGGCAACGGCATCGTCTCCCTCGCCGAGATTGACAAATGGGCGGTGCGTACGTACTGTGCACTTGTCTGCGTTTGTTGTGTTCATATGTGTGCTTGTTGTGTGTGTGCATGTTGTGTGCGTGCGTGTGTGCGCGTGTTTGTGGTTGCGTGTACTTGTCTGCGTTTGTTGTGTTCGTGTGTGTGTGTGTGTTTGTGGTTACGTGCTTGTTGTGTGCATGTTGTGTGTGTGTGTGTGTGTTGTGTGTGTGTGTGTGTGCGTGCGTGTGTGTGATTTCTTTGGGTTCATTTGGCATGTTCACCTTGTGCCCCTCCCCGCTTTGTTGCTTCCCCCCCCCCCTATCTCTCTCTTCGTCTCTCACGCTGTCGACCCCCGCCTTCCCCCCCCCTACCGCCCTGGATGTGATAGGTTGAGAACTACCCTGTGCTGAACCACAAGCCCGCCATGATGCGCGCGTACAAGCACACCACCCTCAAGGACGGCGATGGCGATGCGTGGGTGGAGCCGGGCGAGTTCCCCGCCCTGCTGCGCAACCTGCTGTACTTTGTGAAGACGTTTACGGTGTTTACGGCGATTGACCAGGGCCAGGACCGCCGCATCGACGTGCGGGAGTTTGCGCAGGGCCAGAAGGCGCTCGGCATGCACCTGAGCCCGGACGAGGTGAAGCGCGAGTTTGCGGCAATTGACACCAACGGTGGCGGGCAGGTCCTCTTTGACGAGTTTTGCCAGTGGGTGGCAACCAAGAGCCTGCCCATCGACAAGTCCCTCGCCACATTCACCCAGTGATTGTCTGCGTGTGCGTGCTTGTGTGCGTGCGTGTGTGTGTGCTGGTGTGTCATGTGTGTGTGTGTGTGTGTGTGTGTGTGTGCTGGTGTGTCATGTTGTGTTTGTTTGCGTGTTTGTGTGTTTGTTTGTATTTCATGTGTGTGTGTTTATTTCATGTGTGCGTCGGCTTCACATCAGTGAACCATGATTTGCAAATTGTGCACAGTCTCCCTGCAATTGGCAAAATCACACCAAACTGGTTGTGGATGACAAACCAGTTGTTTGTGCGAGCGACCTCACTCACGTCCACTGCAGAGTGCACCTCAACGTCAAACCACCCTCACACATCCACCAACCAATCCACCCTCTTCGTTGTCTTCATTTACATCACACTCCCCATCAGCGATAGCACATCACTTGCCCTCACTGTCCACAAGAAAGCTGGCTGCCCAACTCCCTCCATCCCTTTCTTTTTCATACACACACACACACACACACACACACACACACACAACACGACACACGACACGAACTGACGATGGGGGACGAGCCGGTGGTGCGACCGCTGTTTGGAGGGGCCATGTCGATGACTGTGCCGGCACGGTTCATGGACATCAGCATGGTGCGCCAAGTGCCAAACAACCAGGAGGTGTTTGCAGACGCCTCAACAGACCAGAGCTTCATCATCGAGATTCTCGAGCTGCCGCCGGACGCGCCAGATGCAGAGGCAGCCCGCTTCCACTTTGATGTCATTGCCAGCGAGGGCGGCGCACTGTCCACCGAGGTGGAGACTGAGACGCAGCAGAGGGTCGTCATGGGTGACAACAACGTCCAGCGAACCGTCATGTGGGGCCTGCAGCAAGTGGGCAAGCACCGCGACCGCGCAGACCGCGCCAACAGCGTGCGCGTGCATGTGGCGTGCTTCCGCGCACACAACGTCTCCGCAGACATTGTCGTGTCGTTCAACAGCCCCGTCTTCATCAGCGAACAGAGCGCCGTCGCGCCCAACGTGGATGCACAGCGCATGGCCCACTACAACGCACCGGAGCAGGCCCTCGCCGTGTTCACACAAGCCATCGACACCTTGCAAATCAACGACTGGTCCCTCTTCGGCTGAGCTGCCCTGACTCAAGCCAGCAAAGCTACCTGACTCAAGCCAAGGCGGCTCCCCGGCTACTGAATCCAACGACCACATGACAGGCATCACTTATAGCCACTTGAAGCCACTCCTCCTCCTCCTCCTAATCCTCATCCTTCGTCTTACTCTTCTTCTTGCACAAGCGCCGCTCCTGCGTTTGTCTGTGCTTTTCGCTGTTACATTGTTACTTCACATGCATTGTACTTGTTGCGCGAGAGCGCCAGCTTCTCATGGTCTTGTTCCTTTGGTGACAGTGTACTCTCTGCTTCTCCCTGCCCCCTTGACACTGTCCTCCTCCCCTCGCGACTGCCTCCCGCGTTTCCTTGCCCTCAATACCAACCTTTCACCCTCCTCTCCCTGCCTTTCTTGCTGCACTTGCTTCTTTGCTTGCTTTTCTTGATTACCCTCTTCACTTCTGTTGCTTTGCCTCTCTCCCTCTCTGTCACTCTGTCTCTGTCACTGCCGCTCTCCGTCTGTCTCTCTGTCTCTCTGCCTCTATCTCCCCCTCTCTGACTATTGTAACCAACTGTGGTGCAGCCAGCGTTCGCACGCGCCTGTGTGTATCTGCACAGATGATGTCCATTTGCTTGCCCGTGCGTGCGTGATTTTTTTTCTATTTGGCAGCATCCTTGCTTGCGGGCGTGCCCTTGTCCTCTGTCTCGCTAGCCTGCAATTCGCCTTCTTCTTCTTCTTCTTCTTCTTTGCTCGTTGTTTCTTGGTTGTGCCTTCTTGCACTTTGGTTTGCGTCACTCTTTCGCTTGCACCTTCCTCTTTGCGCCCTGTTGCCACAGCTCGTGTTATTTCGTTGGCAGGTGCGCCAAAGAGACAAATCATTGTCTTTCCCCTTGCCACATTACACTATCTGTCTCTTTCTCCGACTACATCATCTGTCTCTTCGCTCTGCAACCTTGTCTTTCACGTCCTCCTGGGCAGTGTTGTTGCTGCTTCCAACATTCTAATTCCCTGTCCATCTTTGATTGGAGTTGATGACTTGCGCTTCCACGGTGAATAAACTGCTCGACCCCATCGCTTTGCTTTGCCAAGCATGATTGTACGACTTTGTAAGTGCATGTAACACAGCATGTAACTCGCAGTGCCACATTAGCACAATCAACACAAGCTCATCGCACCACGCTACGCACACCACACAACTAGTGCAATATGCCCTCTCTACAGTGCGCGCCCATACACAACAGTGCTTTCTGTCTACAAAGCTCAGAATGAACACAAACAAACAAACAAACAAACAGACAAACAGACAAACAACAAAACAACAGGTAATAAACAAGCAAACAAGCAAACACACACACACACACACGCACAAACACACACACACACACATTCACCTCACTCAGGTTCAGGCGTCATCTGCCCAGCTGTCATCCAGCGTCTGCTTCCCATCTCCCTTGGTCGGGCTCGGGCTGTTGCACGCCTGGAACCGACGCTGTAATGCCGTGGCCAGTGCTGCCTCAAACGCACTCATGGGCCGCGTCCACCGTCGCGTGGCCTGGCGTCGCTGCAAGGGCGACATGTTGGCCAGAGCCTCCTCATCCAAGTCGCAGTCACCACTGCGGGTTGTGGATGCACTGTTTGCGCTGGTGCCGTCTGTGGTCGGTGTGCTTGCTTGCAGGCACGCGCCGCTCGTTGTCCGCACGCTGCTGCTCAGCGACTGGCGGTTGAACCGCTTAATCTCAGACAGAAGCATGCTCTGTGTGTCAGCAGGCCCCGTGCGAGGCGTCACGCTCTTCAGTCGTGCGCTGTCAAAGGACGATAGCTCCGAGAGCAGGGAGCCACGCGGTGTCGACGCGCTCTCAAGCACTGCACCAGCCCCACCACAGCGCTGTCGCAGGCTTTCCTTCGCTCTGCTGGGCTGCGCTGCCGGAAGCGTTGCTGGGCACGCGGGGGCTGGCGGTGGTGGCGGCGGTGGCGGTGGTGGTGGAGGAGGAGGTGGTGATGGCAAGTCAGCCGCATCAATGTCATCGTGATCTGCGTTCCTTGGCTCTGCAGAGCCGCTTTGATGGTGGTGATCCTGATGTTTGCCCTTGCCCTTGTTCTTCCTCTTCTTGCGTCGCTTCTTGTTCTTCTTTCTTTTCTCCTCAGCGCATCCATTTTGCACACCGCCATCGTTTTTGTTGGTGCGACTGCCCTGGCCCTTATCCTCGCCATTGGCTGTCCTGCCACCCTGACCGGTGCACTCTTCCTTTTGCTGTCGCCTCTTCTTCTGCTTCTTCGTGATCTTCGTTTTCATCGTCTTCTCTCCCGCTGCTTTCGTGCCTGCTGCATGCTGTGCATCCTCCGCAACACCATCGCCACTACCAGTATCACTTACACCCAAGGTGTCGTCGTCACAGCCAACAGCAACATACGCCAGCGGCGGCGGTGGCAGCGGCAAGTCCCCATCTTCGCACTTGCTGTCTGCAACCATGCACTTCATTTGTTCTGGCAGCGGCAGCAGTGGTGGTGGCGGTGGCGGTGGCGGTGGCGGTGGCAATGGTGCATCAAAATCAGATGATGTTGCCGATGCGGCTGGTGCCGTGCATGCTCTCTCCCGCATTCCTGTTGCAGCTGCCACTGCGGTCGCTGCTGCTGGCTTTGACGCGTGCGACTGGTCTTGCGCATAGGCGTTTGTGGCTGTATCGGCAGCGCAGGCGGCTTCAGTGTCGCTTGCTGTTGACGCGTGTCCTCCTCTCCGTTGAAGAGACAGCTTGAGCTCGCCCAGCATCACAGCAGCCTTTGTCACCGTTTCTCGCGGTACATGCCTCGTGCCTGCATGCACCACGTTCTCCAAGTCCTCATCTTCTCCAGTTTCCTCGCTGCCGTTGCGCGTGCTGCCATCGCCATGGTGTGCATCACGTGGCAGTGAAGTTGATGGTGGCGGCGGTGGTGGCGGTGGTGGTGGTGGAAGAGGCAGGTCCCAGCCAGCCGCGTTGTTGTTGTTGACGTTGGCATTGCTGCTCTGTTCCACATCCACAACAGAAAACCCAAACTCAACATCATCCCCAAGCCGCACGCTGTTTGCATTCCGCTCTGCTGCTGCTGTTGTCGTGGCAGTGACTGCAGAAGAGCCTGTTGTTGCTGCTCTCGCTGCGTGTGGCGGCGGTGTTGGTGGCGGCGGAAGGGGACCAAAGGAGTCATTCAGCACATGCGAGGGTGGATTTGCCGGGGCACAGCCCACGCGATGGTTCACACCCAGCATGCCTGGCGGAGGAGGCGGCAGCGATGACAGCTCGTCTTCGACACTCCCATCGCCTCTGATATCGTCATCATCATCATCATCACCAGCACCTCGTCCATCATCATCCTTGTTGTGCTGCTGAATCATGGGGCCAGCACCTTTTGTAGACGCTGTCCGTCGTCTCGTTGTTGTTGCCAACGACCGAGTGGAGCTACCCGCAATCGTGACGGCGCTCGTGGCAGCCCGTGTTGGTGGAGCAACAGGCGCCTTCTTCTTCTTGTTCTGTCGGCGGTGCGATTGCTGCTGGTGCTGCTGGTGCTTTGACTGCTGTTGTAGTTGCAATTGCTGCTGGTGCTGCTGGTGCGGTTGCTGTTGGCGGTGTTGGTGGTGATCTAGTGCGCCTGCGCTCACATCAACGCCACCCTCTGCACTGCCGCTGGTGTGCAGACTTGCCGTTGATGCTGGCCCAGCACGTGGGATCTGCAGTGGGTGCCGAGGGAATTTTGGTGGACGAACAGTCCTCGTTTCCTCGTCCGCTGCTCTGCCATCACCAGCGCTCCTGCTGTTCTTGTGCGTGTGCCTCTGGCTCTCCGTGACGGGACTCGCGGCATTGTTCCCCTCATTGCCTGCACGTGTGCCGCTGGCCTTGCTCGCACAAGCTGCTGCGTGGACACCCTTGTCGTTGCTCATGCCACGCTTGAGCTCTTCCACCATGGCAGCTTGCAGTGGCGGGGGCGGAAGTGGCGCCGGGTGAATTGGCGGTGGTGGCGGCCGTGCTGTTACTGATGTTTCCGTTGCTGCTGGTGATGCGGTTGATGCTCTTTGTTGACAGCTAGCGCTCGCATCAACATGCGGACGACGAGAACGTGTGGGCTTTGGTTGCGCGGGTGAGAAGAACGAGCCATTCATGTCAACCATGGACTGGTCCGCTTCTGTATCGCTCGCCGTGTCATCATCACTCTCAGAAGCATCACGCGTGTAAGTCCACCGTCGCCAGCCACTCTCTTCTTGCTGGTGGTGGTGACGTTGTTGGTGATGGCAATGTTGTCTGTGCGCGGTCATTCGTTCGCCCATGGCGTCGTAGTTGCAGAGGTGTCGCTGTACACCCGTGCGCTCATGTTGGTGCGACTGCTGCTCACCGGCAAGTTCAGTGTCATGCTGCCTGCTCCTTCTCCTCCTGCGTCGTCGGCGCGTCTCTGCCGCGTGGCGTGGCGACAGCACAAACGCTGGAGATCGGCGGCCACGGCCACGTCCGTGGTGGTGATGGTGGTGGTGTCTGGGCGACACAACAAACGCCGGATCAAACATGTCGTCCTCAATATCATCCATCATATCGCAGCTCTCACTTCGGCCATTATTGTGCTGTTTGCGTTGCTGTGGCAGCTGTTCCGCACGTTCATGGCTGTAGTTGTGGTTGCGGCTGCGGTTGTATCGGCGGCTGATGTGTTTCCGTGCATCATCGTCCACGCCACCAACACCACCATCGTTGCAGAGGCTGTCTTCGCTGTAGGCGGACTCGCTTGGGGCTGGCAGCGTCAGCATTGAAGACAACATCTGCGCGCGCGATTTGTTCAGTGTGTCGTACTTGTTGTGCTGTGTGTTTGTTTGCCGCTGCGTGTACTGTGCACGGCCAACTTGGCGAGCAGCCACTGCAGCAATGCCGTTATCTTCATCGTGGTGGAGTTGGCCACAGGACGCAAGCGAAGCGTGAAGCGTGGTATGGTGGCGGTCGCCGTGTCGCTGCTGCTGCTGCTGCTGCTGCTGCTGATGCTGCTTCTGCTGCTGCTGCTGAATCATGCGTCGTCGACGTTGCTGCTGTTGCAAGTGGTGGGTGTAGCCGACACTGGCCCGAGCCGGTGATGGGGACAGCCACGCAGACTGCCGCCTGCTGCGGAAAGCGCGTGGTGGTGGAGATGTTGTCATGTCATGGGCGTCTGCGTCGGCCCAGGCCTCGCCATCAGTGCTGCCATGGAAAGTAACGCCACTGTCACCGTCTTGTCTGTCAGCATGCGTCCGCGGTGATGTCATGTAGCGAAGGTGCCACGCAGCCCCTGTACGCTTGCTCCACTGTGCCTGCCGTGGCGGCGACGTGATGACCACACGTCCTCCCAAACCGCTGTTGCCACCGCTGTAAGCATTGGAGCCAACACTGCGTGCTCCGCCAGCACCATAGTTGCTGCTGCTGCTGCTGCTGCTGCTGTTGTTGTTGTTGTTGGTACTGTTGGGGGTGGTGTAGCTGTTGTTAGCATAGCTCCAATTGCTACCCATGGCTGCCTCACTACGGGTGTAACTGGCTGGATGTGCAGAAACGGTTGCGCGCTTGCGTCGCCACAAGTGAGTCACGCGGGGTCGCCGCATGCGTGCTTTGGCACGCCCACCACGCCCACCATGTACGTGGATGTCCGTTGATGTATCGTGGGCAGCGTCGTCATTGCTCACACTGCTCCTGTCACCACGATACCCATCGTCAAGGTGCGGTGACTGCTGGCGTGCGCGGGAGCGTCCAATTGAGGCTGAGGAGAGAGACGGGCGCAGGCGGTGTAGCAGCCGCCACGCTGATGATGATGATGACGATGATGATGATGATGTTGTTGTTGTTGATGATGATGATGATGATGATGATGATGATGGTTGCTGGTGCTGGTGTTGGTGCTGCTGGTGCTGCTCATGACCGCGTTCCTGTTGTTGTTGTTGTTGTTGTTGTTGTTGTCGTCGTCGTCGTTGTTGTTGTTGATGCTGACGGATGCGCACGCTGTGATGGCTGGATGTTGTGAAATGAAATGGAGGTGACATGGTGTCATCGAGGGACGATGGAGAGGCTGAAACATCTGCCAGTACTCCCTGCGAAGAATAACCGCCGCCACCGTTGCTGCTGGCAACGGAATACACACTTGGTGATTCTGCTGCACCACACATGTCGTCCAAGTGTTGACGCTGCTGGTGCTGGTGCTTGGCGGTCGACTGCACGTCCGTCTGCAACACCATGCGAAGAAACGGCGAGCTTCTCATCACCTCCACCGCTGCTGCGTGGGGCAGGTTGCTGAACGTGACGCCGTTGACGCTGATGATGCGTGCTCCGGCCCTGAGACCGGCTTGGTCCGCCACACTGTCCTTGTCGACACTGCCAATGGTGATGGGGGTGTTGTCTTCGGACCCGCCAAGCAGCTCAAAGCCAAGCGCGCCCTGCTCCTCTGGAAGACGAAAGGCGATGGTTTGCTCCACCGCAAACGGCGCAGGCGGTGAAATTGTCGGTGCTGATGGTGACGAGGTTGACGGTGTGTGCACATGCTTCTTGCTGCTGGCAGTGCTGGTGGTGTTATGGAGTGGTGCACAAGCTGGTGCTGTCTGTGAGGGTGGGGTCGAGACGTGTTGTGCCTGGGACAGTCGCTGCTTTCGTAAGGGTGGTTGTTGTGGCTGCTGCTGTGGTTGTTGTGACTGTTGTGGCTGCTGGTTCTTTGGCTGCAGTGGCTGCCGGCGATCCTTGCGCTGCTTCTGCTGGTGGTGTTGTTGTTGTTGCTGTGCCGACAACAGGTCGGAGGTGAACGCCTGCGACACCACCATGAGGCGCACTGTCTTGTCCGCTGTCTTGCGCAGGAGGGCGGTGGCGTGATCGTAACCCGGGGACTGCAGTCGACAGCGGTTCACAGCCACCACAAGATCCCCCTCTCGCACACCGGCGCGTGATGCTGGCGAGTCCTCTTCAACCGTTCGCACAACTGCGCAGCCGCGCACGTCACGCAGCACAAACCCGAGCCGCCCCGTCTTCTTCTTTCGCGTGATGGCGGTTTCGAAGCAAGCACAC